CGCCATTGAGAGGTTTGTGATCCCTCAGCTGTGGTCATTTAATATCTGTAGTGGTCTGGCTTGAAGGGTCCTTCCTGTGGAATTCCCAGGTATGTGGACTGGTCCTTGGTCAGTTTGGTCAGTCGCACTCCCAGATGTTCCAGGTGGGCAGCAGCAACAGCTTCGTCCAACTGAACAATGAAAATCAGATGTGCAGAGATATTACCATTGTGCAACAAATTTCTCATACAAAGAAACTGATTTTACTGCCGAAACAAAAACAAGGTGAAATAATTTACAGGAGGTGATGAATGTAATAAATGGAAATGAGTTGTGTGGGTATATATATTTAGGGCTCCCCGTGTGGGTTCGGTGGTTCAATTTTAGTGTTTTCCCTGACAGTCAGAGTGCACCTGCTGTGTAGAATCGTTATTAGACCTCGGTTAGCACAGATGTCGATAGATCCCTTGGAATACATGTTAACTGTCTTAGTCGGTAAATCGTTCAGAATCAGTGGAGAAAGAAGATTACTATGGCATGGAGAGAATGAGGCACCTGGGTGTAACCAGAGGATATGGCCAGCTCACTACACTCAGAGAAAAGGCAAGACAGACATATAACCAGATTGTGAACAGGTACCATCAGTGCTGGCTGCTGAAGATGAGGATGGAGCACGCATGGAATGCCCCGGGTGCTGTGGTGTCAACAAGTAAATCATTAAAAAAAAATTATGCAAACCACAATAAGAGTGTAAAATCAAGAGAGCAAGGGCACTCAACCTTCAATGTCGGCATGACACCTGATCTGACATTTTCAGAAGTAGGTCTGCTCTGCTTATAGTTGATGCCATGTGGCGCTGGTAGCCATGTCTGTCCAAATCATTCTGTTTTGTTTACTTTCAATTAGTTCTTTTACCCTCCAACTTTCTTGAAGTGCTCCCAGTGTTCTCATGACTAGACAGAATGTAGATTGTCTCCTTCTGATGTGGACAATCAGTTCTCTTCATGAGTCAGTTTCTTTCAGGACATCTTTATAACTTATTTTTTAATCTGACAAGGGTGAGATCATGTTTATTACCAATTATCCGCCACTTCTATGTTTTTTGTTTTACTAATTGGCCCCCAATTGTCGCTGATTCACTTCTCTATATCAGGATAGGAATTATTTAGCTCTTGAGAGCATTAAAAAAAGCTGCACCGTGAGCTTACCTTCTTTGGCAGCATGTGAACTCCCACGCTGTAACTGGAGGTCTTGGTCCACAGCTCAATCTGAGCTAGCACCTGGTTGGTGAAAGAGTTGCTCATCACAAAACTTGGGTGTCCGTGGGCACAACCCAGATTTACCAGGCGCCCCTCGGCCAGAAGAATCAGGTGACGTCCGCTCTTCATTGTGTAGCGATCAACCTGATAATATTTGCAAGAAGGTTGTTAATTTTTTCCCTTCTAGAAATCTATAATCAAACCTTATATCAACAAACTAAAACAATCGTTTTATTTTGAGAAGAGCCTTGTGTGGGCTCCAGAGCCCCACAAGGTGGGAGGAGGGATAAAATAGAACCAATGTATGTCACAGAAGGCAACTAGTGAGTGGGCATTTCCTTCAGTCATTTCAGGTGCTAGGAAGAGGAATAGAATAAAATCATTGCTGCCATAAAAAGACAACTAATGGCAGGGAAGTCACTGTGCAATGCTTAAGAGACAGGGAACCAACAGTCTGAATACAAACAAGTTTAATCTGTAAAACTGCAAAGCAAAGGTTCTGGAACAAGACCACAAAGTCTAAAGGTGAACGAACAACCAGATCTCTCTGCCTGTGAAGTCTAAAAAAAAATTGTCAGAAGAAAAAATCATTCAGCACCCCCCCCCCCCCCCCCCCGATAAGCACAGGTGGTAATGAACCGCTATCATGCCAGAGCAGTAGTATCGTCGATCAGATCCGTGTTCTTGTTCCGCAAGAATAAAAGTTTAAAGTAATGTTAATGAGAAGAAATAACATGACCATCAGTATATATCAGGCTTATTTATGAGAACTAGGCTGTTAAGGTCTGTGTAGCATCAGCTAGGCTACTGGCTGTTAAGGTTTGTGTAGCATCAGCTAGGCTACTATCTGTTCAGGTTTGTGTAGCATCAGCTAGGCTACTATCTGTTCAGGTTTGTGTAGCATCAGCTAGGCTATCTGTTAAGGTTTGTGTAGCATCAGCTAGGCTACTATCTGTTAAGGTTTGTGTAGCATCAGCTAGGCTACTGGCTGTTCAGGTTTGTGAAGCATCAGCTAGGCTACTGGCTGTTAAGGTTTGTGTAGCATCAGCTAGGCTACTATCTGTTAAGGTTTGTGTAGCATCAGCTAGGCTACTGGCTGTTCAGGTTTGTGAAGCATCAGCTAGGCTACTGGCTGTTCAGGTTTGTGAAGCATCAGCTAGGCTACTGGCTGTTCAGGTTTGTGAAGCATCAGCTAGGCTACTGGCTGTTCAGGTTTGTGAAGCATCAGCTAGGCTACTGGCTGTTCAGGTTTGTGAAGCATCAGCTAGGCTACTGGCTGTTTAGGTTTGTGAAGCATCAGCTAGGCTACTGGCTGTTCAGGTTTGTGAAGCATCAGCTAGGCTACTGGCTGTTCAGGTTTGTGAAGCATCAGCTAGGCTACTGGCTGTTTAGGTTTGTGAAGCATCAGCTAGGCTACTGGCTGTTTAGGTTTGTGAAGCATCAGCTAGGCTACTGGCTGTTTAGGTTTGTGAAGCATCAGCTAGGCTACTGGATGTTTAGGACTCCTCCGTCAGCAATCTAGATAAAAAAGGAAAAGACCAACACCAAGACCTAGAGATTCAAACCCACACCCAAAGCATACACATTAAAAACCATGCCATATATATGAGCTGACACCTAATGGCTAAAGAAAACAATGTTCTCACCTGGGGTGAGACCTGCTCTTTCTTGGCGCAGTTGGCGTTGAGCCAGGAAACGTCAATCTCACAATCAAAGTGGCCGATGTTGCAGACGATTGTGTCCTCCAACATGTTCTCTAGATGCTCGGGTCTGATGATATCTTTGCATCCGGTAGATGTCACAAAGATACGGGCTTCTTTCAGTGTGTCTTCAATTGTTGCAACCTGAGTACAATTTTATAAATGTATTTAGAGTTTACTTCACAATGTAAAAAAGGGGAGTAAATTTATGGCTGGTTTTCTTTCCCTAGCTGTTTATCGTCAATGTAAAGGGACACTAGCAGGGAGGGGTGCCACTGCCAGAAAAAAATGTGATGGCAAACAAAACAAAAGTATCATCATAAACCACTTCTGCCGCTAAGAGGCGTGGGAGGAATAATTTGCGAACTAGTGCACGCTGGGTGCCATTAGCTGTTATCATGCCTTGAAGGTGTAATCTTTTAAAGCTGCAGGTGTGCAGCCTGTTTCACAGGCACACTGTGGGGACAGTACAATTTTTATTTTATACATGTGGTAGTTGAGTCTGCAGTGTCCTGTTCGTAAACTGAAAATTGTTGTCCAATAGTCTGACATACCAGCCACACCACAACAGGAAACTATATCTAAGTCTTCTCTGCGAAACTTTACAGAGAAACAAAAAGAAGATATTCAAATTAGAAATGTATAAACAGATGATTAAAAAAAAAATTTGTATACAACTGCCTGTCGACACCTATGCCAGTATGAACCACATAATGGTTTGCGACAAAATGATATAAACTCACCAAATCTCTTCCTATAAATAATTACAGTGCAAATATCTAAAAACACCCCCCTCCCCCCAAAGTTCTCAAGATTTTTCAGGAGACAACATCCAACAATCTAAAAACAATAAAAGGTCCTGCCTAGCCTGAATTTTAGGTTAAGATGTAACAGCCTAGAGCCGAAATATAATGGCTTATGTGGTTAAGGAGGGTCCCTAACATTTAAACCTGTTTGATTTTCATCACTTAAGTTTTAATCCTGCAGACTAAACTGGAGGGGACAACTGTATTGTTGATAGAAAGTTACTGCTGATAAAAATAAAATAGTTTGGCAACATTTCTAAATACTATATCAGTTTTATTTTTTTTTAAAGCAAGTTGAAACGAAATGAAACTTATGCTAACATAACATTTTTAATTCTAAAAAGGCATTTAAAAAAAAACTACAAACATTCTTCAAATGGTGCATGCACAGAATGGAGGGATAGTTTGATAGAATTGCTAATGTTAAGCTTTTGGGGAGAAGTAAATATGTTCCAGTCGACCAAGAGGTGAAGAAAAGAATAGGGCACATGCTTAAAAAAAAAACTGAGAACAATTTAACTAAAATGTCTTTGCACTAGAACCAACAGAGGCACAGAAATAAATAAAGACCACCAAAAAAAAAACACATGGAAAAAAGGAGCTAGAGAGTGACGTTGAATAGATAGGGAGGACATGGGGAGAGCTCCATGCAATAGCGAAGGACAGAGGACTTGGCACGAGTTGGTTGAGGGCCTATGCTCCACTGGGGGCTAGAAAGGCAGAAAAAGAAACAAGAAGTTAAAAATAATGTATAGTTGGGGCATATAATAATCTATTATAATTTCTAACGGATTACTATATGCCCAAACTATGCATTCAACATTTTATAGTAATCTATTATAATTTCTGAAACCTTTCAAAAGATTTTACAAGAACAACATACACACCTCATATCCCTCCATGGCCGCCTGCAATGCGTTGATGGGATCAATCTCTGTGATGATGACCCTAGCACCGAAAGCTCGCAGAGCCTGAGCACAGCCCTTGCCGACATCACCGTACCCAGCCACACAGGCCACCTTGCCAGCCAGCATCACGTCTGTGGCTCTCTTGATGCCATCCACTAAGGATTCACGACAACCATACAGATTGTCAAACTTGCTCTGATGAAAGATACAGGAAATTATAAAGTGGTGACAACATGGAAGAACGAGGGAGAGGAAGAATTGTAGTGAAACACAGAAACACTGAATGCATTTAAAGTTAGCTGCGTATCCTTTACAGGACGTTGCAGAACCAACTAGGGCATTTTATTTTAGCTGTTGTGGTTTTTCTAGGCAAATTGTAAATTCAGTAGTTTGCTATTGGTTTCTGGGCGGTCAGCTCTCGGTAGCACTGTCGAAACAAACGCAAGACAAACTGTCCGCAGCTGGGATCGAACCCAGCATTACAAAACACGTTCACAACAACACCTAAGCCACAGACGCCGACACTTAATGCATGCCTGAGGAAACATAGCTGCTATATAAAGCATAGCAAAGTTAGGGCCTCTCCCCAATCTCAGTGTTCTGATCTCCCCTCCCAAGTCATTATCTTAGCTCTACCGCTTTTCCGGGAATTTCTCAAATCTGTCGCTAAACTACTGTACCTAATTTTCAGCACTTTGCGTACTATGTGAAAAAATGTGGGCAAACCTCGCAAGTTATCGCAAATGGCTGCCCCCTACGTGTGAAATTTCTATTTGAAGCGAGCGGCTGATGAACTTAACACTTCGATGGGAAAGCGAAGAAGGTCTAGCTTTTTCACAGTCCAACAGGTAACCTATTTTCTACAATGTCTCCAACTTTCATCTAACCACTTGTTTGCATGTAACTAATATTTTTTGTATATCATGTTGGTTTTTTTTTTTTTTTGCGTTAATGCCCAGGAACTCAGGTAATGGGGACAGTTAGTTTCAGGGCCTCAGGTCTGGTAGGGTTAGACCAGTAGTTCTCAACCTGTGGGTCACAACCCTTTAGCAGGCGGAACAGCCCTTTTACAGGGGTCGCCTAAGACTTTTGAACAACACATATGTCAATTAAACTGTAGTTTAACTTGTGTATAAATTTACTCGATAACAATGGTGAGCACAGACAAGGCTAATAAAATGGGAATTTCCATAGACCTGTTTGGCCTTAATGCTGGAGCTGGCATGGACGTAGATCTCAGATATTCTTTCAACAACTGAAGATAGCACTGAACATTTCTGAAGTATCCTCACTATTAGTGTAACAACTGAAAATAGCACTGAAGTATCATCACTATTAGTGTAACAGCTGAAGATAGCACTAAACATTAATGAAGTATCCTCACTATTAGTACAACAGCTGAAGATAGCACTAAACATTACTGAAGTATCCTATTAGTACAACAGCTGAAGATAGCACTGAACATTTCCAAAGTATCCTCACTATTAGTGTAACAGCTGAAGATAGCACTAAACATTACTGAAGTATCCTATTAGTACAACAGCTGAAGATAGCACTGAACATTTCCAAAGTATCCTCACTATTAGTACAACAGCTGAAGATAGCACTGAACATTTCTAAAGTATCCTCACTATTAGTGTAACAACTGAAGATAGCACTGAAGTATCATCATCACTATTAGTGTAACAACTGAAGGTGGCACTGAACATTTTTGCTATGATGTAATCTGCTGCAGACTAAACACTTTACAGTTAGGCTTCAAGGGCATAATGGCTATTTCTCCGCCCCACAACATTGACGTCTTGCACCCACTTTGTGGAGATCTTTCAAATCAGCTTGGAGTGTATATGCTGCAGGATGGAAACTAAATTACCTCCCATTAAACTAAACAAAGTGAATAAATGAGTGCATGAACTGACCTTTGTGACGGAGTCGTTAACGTTGATTGCTGGCACCTTGAGGTCACCTGCTGCGTACATTTTGTAAAGGTTGTGGACCCCGGTTGTTGTTTCCTCAGAAATGCCCTTGACACCTGAAGACATGTATCACAACAACTGAAGACATGTATCACAACACCTGAAGACATGTATCACAACACCTGAAGACATGTATCACAACACCTGAAGACATGTATCACAACAACTGAAGACATGTATCACAACAACTGAAGACATGTATCACAACAACTGAAGACATGTATCACAACACCTGAAGACATGTATCACAACAACTGAAGACATGTATCACAACAACTGAAGACATGTATCACAACAACTGAAGACATGTATCACAACAACTGAAGACATGTATCACAACAACTGAAGACATGTATCACAACTGAAGACATGTATCACAACAACTGAAGACATGTATCACAACAACTGAAGACATGTATCACAACAACTGAAGACATGTATCACAACAACTGAAGACATGTATCACAACAACTGAAGACATGTATCACAACAATGATTATGTGTAAATCAAAGAATGGGTGATAATGTTAGAAATATAATGTCCCCCCTCCCCCCAATACAATCCTGTAAATAAAAAAAATTATTTATCAGACAATAATTATATTGAATCTAGGTTAGTATGTCAGAGTGAAAATAGGGTATAAAAAGAGTTTGCATCTCGAAAAGTTTGTATTATGTAGAGTGGTTTGTAAGTCAAAACGTTAAATGTTGAACTTTAGAATAAAAATTACAGCATTTGGGAAACCCCGATAAGCGCACTGTCCCCATCTTCATTAGCAAACAAAGAGTTGCAATTCTGATGGCACCAGTAACTGATTGTACATGCATCTTGCCCTTCCCCTCTGAGTGTTGAGCATCTGCCAGATCCCCTGGTAACATTGGGTGTACAATATGGCGAATATGTCAGCCAACCTGGCATTTACATGATAAACATGATAGAAGCAAAACATTTTCAGTTTTGCCGATGACCTAATAGTCAATGCAGTGGTCAATTTCTCCAGCCCCCCCCCCCCCCCCCCCCCCATACAGTTCCACCCTTAACAACCAAAGCAAAACGAACTTAAGAGCGGGTTCAAACACAGCTCACCTTCTAGAAAATGTGGGTATTTGCTGTGAACAAGATTGGTGAGGTCGCCACCATCATCTAGGATCATATTCAGTGGCTGCCCGTCGGGGAAGATCAGAGTCTGAAAAAAAAAATATATATACATTAATTATTTGAAAATCAATGAGGTCCATCAAAATGTAATTTTAATCTGAAGAAGGTTTTCATGGATCTCATGTCCTTCATAAATTATGTAGTGTTGTGAGGGAACAGTTACTAGGTCAATAAGTTGTGAGGGAACATCAGTTAATAGGTCAACTAGTTGTGAGGGAACATCAGTTACTAGGTCAACTAGTTGTGAGGGAACATCAGTTACTAGGTTAACAAAAAAAAACAGTGAGACATTTCCTGGATGTATTTACTGCAGTAAAATTGTCAGCAAGCTGAATGGGGCCCAAAACTCAGTAAAAGGGTCTTTTGGTCATCAGAAGTCTCCTGTTGTGTTATCTCCTCTAAGAAATTCTTATTACCTGCATTTTTTTTGCATCCTCATCTGTCTCCTTAAGTAGCGTTCCCCCGGCTGTAAACTTCCACAGAAAGACCTGATTGTTCATCCACAGTGTTCCAAAACAAGAGTTTTAATGTGTTCATTCATTTCCAGATCTGGCTGTAGGCAGACTGTTCCACACCTCAGGCAAGATGCACTCTGAGTTTATAGAGTCAACATCTCTCTCAGGCAAGATGCACTCAATAGAGCCAACATTCCTAATTGCTCACCTTATATGACAGTTAAATCTTCATTAACCATCTTTATTAGTTTTTTTTAATAGTTTTTTTTTTTTGTAAATGCTGAGTACAAATCTGGCTATTATCTGCATAAAATTTGACAGCTTGTGGAGAGGCATGATCGTCTATGCCAGACAGCAAATAACTTGATGATGATGATGAATGCATGGGTGAAAACTACAAGAAAAGGAAGCCACAAGAATCACACCTGTTCAATACACCAGATGTATTCCTCGTCTGTTTCACCTTTCCATGCATACACTGGCACTCCGGTCTTGGCAATAGCTGCTGCAGCGTGGTCTTGTGTGGAGAAAATGTTGCAGCTGGACCACTGGACCTAAATGTGACAGACACAAGACTTTTAGCATGGATCAACAATGTGACAGCAATCAGTGTCATCAACGTGACAGGGGAAAAACAATTATTATCAATGTGATCAACAATGTGACAGAAACATCACAATTATCAGTGTGATCAACAATGTCACAGAAACATCACAATTATCAGTGTGATCAACGATGTGACAGAAACAGCACAATTATTAATGTGACAGAAACAGCACAATTATCAGTGTGATCAACAATGTGACAGAAACAGCACAATTATCAGTGTGATCAAAAATGTGACAGAAACAGCACAATTATCAGTGTGATCAACAATGTGACAGAAACAACACAATTATCAGTGTGATCAACAATGTGACAGAAACAACACAATTATCAGTGTGATCAACAATGTGACAGAAACAACACAATTATCAGTGTGATCAACAATGTGACAGAAACAGCACAATTATCATTGAACCAGGAACCTCTAGCAATCGAGGCATACACCATGCTTTAAGACCACGCAGCCCCCCTTTTAAAAAGGGAAAAAATTTGGGCTCTACTGGCAAATCCGGACGAACGAAGAATAAACAGCCTTGGACGACTTAGTGAGAGTTCTCTCCCGTCGCCGCACTCCAAACAGTGATCGGAAAATCCACAACGAAACAAAGAAGATAGTCACGTCGACATCAGGGCTGCATGCTGCCAATGCTGGTTGTTTCCCCCATCTGGGTTTTTTTTCGACACTGCAGGACAATTCTGGGGTGTTTTTTTTTTTTTTTGTGTGTTTTGTTTGTTGTGTGTTGCCGATTTGTATGCTTTAATGATCGATAAATTTGCGTGGTTAGGGGGTAGGGGTTAGGGTTAGGGTTAGGGTTAGGATTAGGATTAGCGGTAGGGTTAGGATTAGCGTTAGATTTGACAATTTTGACGCCGGAGTTCCCTATAATCGCGCACAGTCCCATACACACAAACAAACAATCGAGGGCCTCTGGATGCTGGTCACACGCACAATTCGCCAACGATTGGGGGCACCAGCCGCACGCTATTAGCGTCATATTTGGCAGAGTTTAAGTGGCGCCACACCCACAAACATCATATTGTCGGCCAGTATTTCGAAATCCTACGTCAAAATTTTCACATCTAACCCTAACCCTACCCCTAACCCTACCCCTAACCCTAACCCTACCCCTAACCCTACCCCTAACTCTAATCCAACAACCGCATGATGATGACTACACAACCATTCACAATGCCTCACGCAACCGTACGCAACTGTGCACGCAACCATATGATGATGCCACGATGTCTCACGCAACCGTACGCAGCCCTACACGCAACCGCAGGATGATAGGTAAGTTTGTCGTTTGTTTCGTTTGTTTTCCGATTACTGTTCGGAGTGCGGCGACGGGAGATAACTCTGACTAAGTCGTCCAAGTCTGTTTATTCTTCGTCCGGATTTGCCAGTAGAGCCAAAATTTGACAGTAGGAAAGTTGGAGGGGAGGAAAAGCAGATGGAGACAAAAAGAAAAAAATGCTGGACAGTTTGAAATGGGACAGAGGATTATTTGTGCGTGAAAGTAAATGAGACAGAAAGTGTGGACAGACAGGACTACCAAAGCCACACGGCACCGGGCATGGATCTTAGGAAGAATAACAATTTTGGTACTGCCACTCTCCCTTATTTGATTACTGCTATGACCATGACCATTGAGACATTTGTACTTTCACTATCTATAAAATAAAGGGGTAACAATTTGAATAAGTTACAGTTGTCAAGGTTCAGGCTGAGGATTTAGGCAAAACAAATTGCTACAGTCTACTTTCAAAAAGTAGGTCAAAGGCCAGTCATGTTGGGAAGTGGTAAAAAAAAAATTAGACACTAAAAAGATCTCCGCTCAGACTACAATAATCTCTCAATAACAATACTGGTTTGGATGTGTAACAAAAAAAAAAGGAAAGGTCCCTTGCCCACGCCTTTAGCTGTTCTGAGAATATAGATAGGGCTATACCTAAATTTGTATTGACCAAACAGTTTGGATGTAAAGCGAACCTAAAATAAGAAAAAGTGTGGAAAAAAAATATAAACACAAAACAGACCTTACGCTCCGAGCTCTTGCAATGTCTCAATAAAAGCATCGGTTTGGATGTAAAGAGAAACACAAACCAACAGGAAGACATGTGAATAAACAAAATACTACAAACACTGAACTAACCTCAGCTCCGAGCTCTAGCAATGTCTCAATGAGAACACCAGTCTGGATGGTCATGTGGAGACAACCGGCAATGCGAGCACCCTTCAGTGGCTTGCTTTCTCCATACATCTTCCTCATCTTCATCAGACCAGGCATCTCATTCTCGGCAATCTCAAGTGCTCTGCGTCCCCACTCGGCCAAAGTAATGTCAGCTGGTAAATATGGAAACACAACAAAACTTGACGTGACCAGCCGGCAGACAACTGATACTCAATTCATTAATGATCTCTCTATGCTGGTCTCAGGAATCTGACCCATGGTGATCCTCATTTTCAACATTCTGGCTCCTGACTTATGTATTAGTTGCATAAGATCGTAGGAATACAATAGTATTGAAAGATTGACTTGATTAGAAGCTTAATCTACTCCAAGTAGGTGTACATGACATTTCTGATTCAAAAACCATTATAGTCATTTTATTATTTATAAATGTCTTCATGAATATTCAAAGTTAATGTGGGCTAGGATACCAAATTATCATTGTTATAACTTATTTTGTCTTAAGATATATCTCCTGTACCTGTTCTTTAATGTCCTGTTTTATCCTTCTTTGAAGTTGAATGTAACCTAGAGTTATTGCTGCTATCTACTCCCTGTCCGGGTTTCTTTTACCACAAGTTAATCTGCAGCCAAATATCAATTATCATCATATATAAGTGTTTCTCTTTTCTAATATAACATGCGTTAGCAGTTAGTAAAACGTTAGTTGCTTATTCCTTACAGGACGTTGCAGAACCAATCCTACATTTTTTCCGTGCAAATTTTACTTAGAGAGAGTAGTTTGCCACTGCTCTCAGTCCCTGAACAATCAGCTCTCGGTACCAGTCAAAACCAACACGAGACAAATCGTCCGCAGCTGGGATCGAACCCAGCATCCCGGCTTTTTTAGACAGCGCCTTAGCCACAGATGCCGACAGTAGATAGTGTGCATGGCCATAAATTCACAAATTATGAGTTTTGAGTTGAGAATTGATATCATAGCACTCGGGGCATTCCCATGCGTGCTCCGGCATTATATTCAGCATCCAGCGCAGAGTTGTAATATTTATTATTTTATTCATTTAAATTATAAATAAATAATAAAATGGCCTAGCCTAATCGTGACTTAAATTAGTTAGTGATTACAATACAGTTGCTATAATTCAAATTGAGGTGCCATTATAAATATCAACGGTGTAGGTTTGATTTGTATAAATTATTTTGACAACTTTATTAAAATTAAAAATTAAAGTCGCCAGTACTTCGTACACTGCAAATAAGAAACGTTTATATAAAATAATTTATAACACTCACAACAACTGGCACTGACTTGCATTAAAATTCAAAAATAAATGATAAAGAGAATCACTATATACTTGTCACACCTCCCGGCAGGGTTCATAATAACACCACAATAAAACTAGAGATACATACCGACTTTGTATGCTGGTTTCGACATAGTGAAATGATTCTGTGATGGTAAGATCCGAGAAAAACTAAAATTCCTTCCGACTCTTTCGACCGTCTCAAATGGAGAGACCGGTGGCCACGCCGCACACCTCTTTTATACCCTTCCGTGACCCGGTATTATTTTAACCAATGGTCGGAGAGGTTAATGCTAAATATAGCTATCCTTGAACTTCATGCATGGGGGTTTTGCAGATAAAAATAATGTACGCAGGTTTCCGTGTTTACCGACATTTACCGCAGAAACAAATTATCACCACTGCTTGCTGCCTGGTGTAGATGAACACGTCTCCTCATAAACATATACCAGTTTGCGTGTTGATACCCCTCCATGTCATGACAAAAGGCTGTGAGAAAGTGTTTCACATTGTCTTCTTCTGTCTATCCCATCCCCAACCCCACCCACAGATCTTTCCAGTGGTCACAACGTCCTAGTTTCTTTCTTATCATAATATGTCATAGAAATAACTGTCTCTTTCTGATGTTTGTTATGTCTCCAAGTCCTCGCCTCTTTCAAAACATCTGTATACAAATGAGCCAAATCTGTAAAACGGATGCAATCGCAACACTCAGATTCTGGAATACGACTGCAGTCCAGAAGTGGATGAACAACAAAAACTTACCGCCAGAGTTTACAGCTGGTTGACGAGAAGAAAACATATGTGTTGCTCTTTTTTTGGGCTTCCCAAAGAATTCACAACACACACACATTTATACATATGTGTGTGTGTACATTTTTAAATATAAATGAATGATACGTATTGATTGCCACTCATAAACGTAAAGGATAGAAATAGGAGCACATAGCATATTTAAAGAAAAAAATTAAAACATGTAGTCACCACATTACTGTTGAGAACCACCGTGGTGTAGCGGCTAGACGCGTGCCTGTGGATCTGAGGGTCTTAGATCCAGGTCCTGACGGAGCAGGACTTTTATTAAAAGTTGCGATTAGTCGATAAAATACAGTTTGAATCCTATATGCCAAATACGGCTGGAGACGTGGAAAAGGGTCCTTAAATATTGTTTGTTATTCGTCATCATCATTTTTCACTTCTGTCGTTAAGCGTTGTGGGGAGGAACAGATTGCGATCCATTGCTTGATGGGCTACTGTCATTCCGTGTCGATGTAGAAGCTCTTTGATACCATCAGTCCATGTTCTCCTAGGACGGCCTCTTGATTTCACTTCCGATTCTTTCAGATGAAGCTTCTGCACTGGTAGCTGTTCTGGCTGCATTCTTATTAAACAACCAAACATTTGATCTTCTGTTTCTCAATGAATTTGTTGCATGGTGTTGTTGCTATAGTCTGTCTGACAATATCATTTCTTACTTTGTTTTGAAGGATTGAGTTGGCTGTTTTCTCAGGCATCTCATTTCACAGGAGTTAATTTTACGTAGGTCAGTCTTTGATAATGTCCGAGTGTGGCATTGGTAGCACAGTGCTGGTATAAATTTGCTGTTTATAATCTGTTTCTTGGCGCTGATACTTATGTTTAGATGTCTTAATAACGGAGTCAGTTGGTATATAAGTGCACTGGATCCTTGGTATCTTGTTTCTATTTCCCGATCTATTCTTCATTCTTCCGAGGATATACTTCCTAGATATTTGAATTCTTTAACCTGCCTCAGACAGGTACCATTCAACCCGATATGTAGCGGACTTCAGACAGGTACCATTCAACCCGATATGTAGCAGACTTCAGACAGGTACCATTCAACCCGATATGTAGCGGACTTCAGACAAGTACCATTCAACCCGATATGTAGCAGACTTCAGACAGGTACCATTCAACCCGATATGTAGCGGACTTCAGACAGGTACCATTCAACAAGATATGTAGCGGACTTCAGACAAGTACCATTCAACCCGATATGTAGCAGACTTCAGACAGGTACCATTCAACCCGATATGTAGCAGACTTCAGACAGGTACCATTCAACAAGATATGTAGCGGACTTCAGACAGGTACCATTCAACCCGATATGTAGCGGACTTCAGACAGGTACTATTCAACCCGATATGTAGCGGACTGGGAATTCTGCCGACATGCATTACTTCAGTTTTGGTAGTATTTATTTTCATGTTATATATTCTGCATGTTGAACTTCGCCTGTTCAACTGTTTTTGAAGTCGAATCCCCTCATTGTAGAACAGGCATTGATCGTATGCAAACAGTAGCTCATTTTTTGTCTGTGGAAATAATTACACCCCACCCCCCTCTTCTGAAGTTCCTCCTTTTCTGGATTTTTTGGCTTTAAAGCAGACTTATTCGGATATTAGATCTATGTATATATTAATAAGAGATGAGTTAGTAGTACACAGCCCTGCCCCATTCCTGTATTGATTGTAAACATATCAGACTTGTGTTCTCATTTGGGATGTGTGGTACATTGTAATGATATTGTCTAGCAACCATCCTAGTATCGCATAATCCTCAAGAATAACCAATAGTTTGTTTCTATCTACTCTGTCAAACCCTTTTTCTTGATCAACAAACACAGTATTCAATTCATCGTCACATTCAACGATTGTCTCCCACTCTTGTCAGTGTAAATAATTCATCTTTGCAACCTTTTCCTTACCTGGAACCAAATTGTCATGTACTTGGGTGTTGTTCAACTAGAGGTCTAACCCTCTGTTCTAATAACTTTGCATACATTTTTTGTGTGTGGCTCAAGAGTGATATACCTCTGTACGATGCACAATCTCTTGTATTACCTTTCCTTTTCCAAACTGGTGTTATCAATTCCTGCTGCTAATCAAAAGGAAAACGCCTTTCTTCCTATTGTTATTATTATTGTTATTATTATTGAACAAGTAAACAAGGTCTTTGAGGCATTCGACTCTAGAAAATTACTGGAGCCCCATTACGTTGGGCCAGGATCAAAGTTTACAGCCGACGGAGAAGAAAAAAAAAGTTAAACTTAGCTTCATCATCAAAGATACCCGTGAGTGTCCCAGGATGACTTACTATATATTTGAACGGAGTTTCTTTGATGACTATTCTATGCTACTGTATGTGAAGTAAAAGTTCAGCGTACATTTGACACTATAAATGTGTGTGTTTTTTTTAAGATATATTTTATACACTATTCGTATTCGAATTCGGCCGAATAGTTGGTACCGCTATTCATATTCGGCCGAATAGTGAAAAACACTATTCGGTACAACCCTAATTTGAACCCAAGACATTCGGGTCGACAGAGTAACACCTAGCCACTAGGCTAGCACGACACCCCATTTCTTGATTAACAGTGATTGTCTCTAAATGGGTTCTGAAACCCCGTTTGAGACGGGGGAGGTGAAAGGATAGACCCACTGCCGCCTAGGGAACTGACTAATTATGGATTTTCTGAAATTGGATGCGTTGGACCGTAAGGTGCAAATATCACAGCCTTGGTGTAAACCACAATGAAACTTGCCAACGTCCTGTTAGGACAAAGGTGAAGGAGAGAAGAATGAGGAGGAAGAAGAACAAGAAGAAGTGGAGGGTTAGGAGGAAATGGATGGGACGACCAGTGTGTTCCCGCTAGGCTGGTACCTAACGGTTTAACACACCATCCGAAGATAACTCTCTGGTTGAAAAGGCATTTTTCAGACCCCCCCCCCCTTTACCCCACCTCGTTCAACCTCCAGAAGTTATTATTAACTCTTTGAGTGCCAGGGGGTTTAGCATCACAAGCCAAGGGGGTAGTACATATAGTCATAAAATCGGCGCATCATGCGTTCTTTGGGCTTTTAGGTAGGAACCTATGAACGTATGATGCGTTCTTTTGGACTCAAAAGAGTTAAGACACCTGTAACGGTTACACTAGGAAGATGTAACATGCAGTCTTATGCAGGTTAGGAGGTGGAGGAGGAAGAAAACGAAGATAACCAACATGAAAAGGAAAGTAAATAGGGGGTGACTGCAGTTGAGCTGATTGCAAGAAATGCTGGACATAACCCAAAAAAATGTGACTAGAAAGCTCAGAGGAGGGAATGGAAAAGACGCATACAAACACAATTGAACGTTTCGACAAAAGTCTTTATCAACGGAGCATCATACACAGCACAAACTGTGACTCAAAAACTCATTCTACTAGACAACCAAGCTAAAATAAAAAATGAAGGGAAGTAACTCATGTGAGACAACAAGACTAATGTCCCCTTGCGCTCGTGAGGAGCCGTCATGTGATTGACTTGTGTGGTGACTTCCGCTGCTGGTTCTGTTGTGAGAGGGACGGTCAAACAACAGTCGCAGACTTACTTCCCACCCGCCTGCCAAGATGATTCCAGAAATCACATTCAACATAGACCATGGTTATCTTGAAGGCCTTCTTAGAGGCTTCAAGGGTGGCATCCTTAAACAGGCCGATTATCTGAATTTGATTCAGTGCGAGACGCTAGATGGTAACGTCTCTTTTGTGGTGTTTATGGTTGGGGTTTTTCAATGTCATTCATTTGTTATTTCAATGTCTGTAAGACGCAGAGTTTGACTTCGTCTTCGTGTAAAGTAACCGTTCTAGACGCCTTAGTTGTAACTTCTTGAGAGATCGACCGTTTTATCTGGTTTTTGCATTTGTGTCGTGGGAGTGACATCCATAAATTGTGTATGTTAGTCGCAGGGGTGTCAAACCTTCCTTCTTTAGTACCAAACCCGGAGGAGGTGGTCAGCTGCTTTATCGTGTCACCTTCATTTTTATTGTCGCACACCTTCATTACCAGATCGTTTTTCTTTCAACTTTTCCGTTTTATCATGTGTACACTTTGGAGCAACAGTCTTTGAGTCTTAATGAACTAAAATTGTAGAAATGTAGTATTAGTAGGTTCTGCATATTTATGTTTGGGTTATATAATGTTATTCGGCTCTACTGGCAAATCCGGACGAAGAATAAACAGCTTTGGACGACTTAGTCAGAGTTATCTCCCGTCGCCGCACTCCAAACAGTAATCGGAAAACAAACGAAACAAACGACACACTTACCTATTATCCTGCGGTTGCGTGTAGGGCTGCGTACGGTTGCGTGAGACATCATGGCATCATCATATGGTTGCGTGCACAGTTGCGTACGGTTGTGTGAGGCACTGTGAATGGTTGTGTAGTCATCATCATGCGGTTGTTGGATTAGAGTTAGGGGTAGGGTTAGGGTTAGGGGTAGGGTTAGGGTTAGGGTTAGATGTGAAAATTTTGACGTAGGATTTCGAAATACTGGCCGACAATATGATGTTTGTGGGAGTGGCGCCACTGAAACTCTGCCAAATATGACGCCAATAGCGTGCGGCTGGTGCCCCCAATCGTTGGCGAATTGTGCGTGTGACCAGCATCCAGAGGCCCTCGATTGTTTGTGTGTGTGTATGGGACTGTGCGCGATTATAGGGAACTCCGGCGTCAAAACTGTCAAATCTAACGCTAATCCTAACCCTACCGCTAACCCTAATCCTACTCCCTAACCCTAACCCCTACCCCCCTAACCACGCAAATTTATCGATCATCAAAGCATACAAATCGGCAAACACGAACAAACAAAACACACCCAAAAAAACAACACCCAGAATTGTCCTGCAGCGTCGAAAAAAAACCCAGATCTGGGGGAAACAACCAAGCATTGGCAGCCCTGATGTCGACGTGACTGTCTTCTTTGTTTCGTTGTGGCTTTTCCGATCACTGTTTGGAGTGCGGCGACGGGAGAGAACTCTGACTAAGTCGTCCAAGGCTGTTTATTCTTCGTCCGGATTTGCCAGTAGAGCCTAGTATTCTGTGAATGTCTTTATTAAACGCCAGACTTTACAAGTGTAGGACTTGCCTTCATTATAACTCCTTAAGAGGCTGGATAGAGTATCCAGGGTTTGTCTTGTTGATGTGACATCTTGGATGTAGCTCTGTGTGTCGCATTCATGTCAAGCCTTTAGTAAACTACTAACCCTGAGGTGGAAATGGGCTGTTTAGCTGCTTCCTCTTGTCACCTTCATTGTTGCACTCTTTCTGTAGCAGACTATTTTTGTGTGAATAGTTTAAAATTCTGTGATGGTTTGTGTACTTTGTAGCAATGTAGCAACAGTCTTTTAGTGTCAGGGAACCAAAATTGTAGCAGTGCAGAATAGAATGCATTGGAATTAGCCACTGCAGTAGAAAGATCAATATAACAGAATTTAGCTGGTCATATAAGAGGCACTTTGCAGAACACAGCTGTCATCATGATGTGCCTGAAAGAAACTCTTTTGAATGTCTTTTTTTTAAAAACCAGCTCTCCTGCTTTTTGCACTTTCAGACCTAAGGTTTCACTTTTATTCTTTGTGCAGTTTTGTGCTAGTCAACTCCTGCTTCTCTTTCTCAGGAATCACACCTTCTGCTATTTTTTTTTTCAATCTTCTGGACTCAAGTGTTGTATGCACATCCATTTTACAGATCGGTGGGGAGAGGGGGGGGGAGGGGCATGAGAGTGCCGCTGCTGGTCAACATAGTTATAGCGGTAAACATCCATTTTTGTCCTCTTGCCAATTCTCTCTTTTGCTAAGAAACCCTCAGTTTTCGGCATGGACAAGTCTCCCAGCAGCTGCTTTTTGAGTAGAAAGCTCTATCCCAATGCCTCTATTTCTGTCTATTACAACTCCAAGGTATATGAATCGTTCTTCATTCTCTAATACCTTAACATATCACTCCACCGACAGATTTGAAGCTTCACCTGCAGTCAACTGATTATGGAAATTTCCTGGCCAATGAACCAAGTCCCCTCACTGTGTCTGTCATTGATGATAAACTGCGAGAGAAGTTGGTCGTGGAAATTGAGCACATGCGAATCCATGCACTTCAGCCATTGGCTGGTTTCTTGGATTATATAAAGTAAGATTTCTTGGATTAAAAATATCACATTTTATTTAAAAACTTTTACAAAAGTCTGCATTTGACTGTTTCATTAATCATATAAAGTATTCAGTTTTAATTGCAAATGTTAATGTGACAGAAATGTTTCACTTGTCTCTTTTTAATAAACTTTAATTAAGTTTAGTATTGTTTGTGTGTTTCTCTGGATGTAACATTGATGTCAACTTTTAAAAATGTATTTAAGCAACTCTTTTAATTCCAGTCTGTTCTGAACCCTTCTATTTATTTGTTTCTGTGAAACTCAACCCATTCTTTTGTATCCATATTTCTAAAGACTCATCATGTCAACTTTCTCATTGCTTGTTTCATTGTCCAAACCTCTGGAATAATAATTAACAATACAGAGATAATAGATGTGTATTCTTGCAGGTACAGCTACATGATTGACAACGTCATCCTGCTGATTACCGGGACTCTTCATGGCCGTCCCATCCACGAACTATTGCCCAAGTGTCACCCCCTAGGTACATTTGACCAGCTGGCTGCTATAAATCTGGCCAATACCTCAATGATGTTGTACAATGCTGTGCTGGTGGACACGCCTTTAGGTACTTGTTGCCTGTGTGTAGTTTTTATTTTAAAGATTTGGAGATGTTGATAGGAGGGCTCACTGACAACCCAAGACTGGTTCTTTATTAATATCCTTCCCCAGATGACGTCACAGTACAGTACAGTCCAACATTTTAGAGGGTGGTAAGACTGGGTTTCCTGGCTTTCTGATGCTTTTAACGACCCAAAAACATATAGAACTGGCCCTGACCCCAACCCACCTACGTCACACGAGAGTGCAGCCTAGGCCCCCTCCCCTCCCATGCATAATCAGGCATACAAGGTGTTAAAGAACAATGTGTTAATTTGCCACCAGAAAAGATATCACAGGATCAGCTACTACTTCAGATAGTCATATTGTAGAAATATAATGAGCACAGAAGTGGTGGAAGTCCTGGCAAAAGAGCCCATCAAAAAAAAACAACTTTAGTGAAATGATCAACAAACAAAGCTCGTTCGGTTAAGCATACAGATCAATATATCTCATCTCCTTCCCACCACCTTCCCATTTTCAACACTTTGATCTAAGAAAAATAAAGATATTGGATCTGTTTAAAGTATCTTCCCCATGTGGGTTCTGGGGCCCCACTCTCAGAGAAAACCAGAATATACCTACTGCCTCCCCGTCAAGCATGTTGTAGGAGTCGACTAATTGGGGGCATCCTCTGAAGCTGAAGTGCAAGGAACCAACAATCCTGCATACACAAAGAGCCAGATCTATGAAACAGACACACACACATCACTCATGTTCTGAAACAAGACTAGTGTCACTGAATGCCAAGAAGTAGTAGTTTAATGTCTCTTACACTCAAACGTATCCTTGGTTTTCAGCCCCCTACATCAAGGATTGTATCTCTGCTGAAGATCTGGATGAGATGAACGTGGAAATCATCAGAAACACTCTGTATAAGGTCAGTAGCTCGACAGCTCCGTCGTGGGTAGCTGCCTCTTTCTGAATAATTAGGCTACACCAGGGGTGCACAGCAAGCGATAAACACCCAGTGACACAAAGTGCCACCATTCAGATTAAATCACTCGAGAGCAAGTCCCAGAAACCCCATTTACCGTTCAAATGTATTTGGACCCCTGACAACTGCTGGAGTGGGGTTTTAAAATAAAGAAAAACTGCTCGTTATTGGGAAGGTTTCTGTGTAAAATTTTTGTTTTCTTCTTTCAGTTGCAATTATTCATCATCATCATCTCGTAACCCAGCATGTTGTTGGGTCACCAGTTGCTTTTGACTGTCTAATCAGCTTCCTCCACCATTAATAGTCAGATGTGATGAATTTCATGGTCGCCTAGCCATTCAGTCAGGTTTTGTATCCAGGTCTTTCTTGGTCTGCCTCTTCCTCTTCCTCTCTATCAGCCCTGTAGTATTGTTTTTGAGAGGCTGTTATGTCTTATCACATGTGTGTTCCATTGCATTTTCTATTTTTCTACTGTAGTTAATTGCAATTATGAAATGAAACAGATTCTTTGAATTCTCTGTATTTCTTTACTACTTCTCATTTATGTATGTATATAAGTTGCACCCCATCAGGACATCACACAAAGCGATAAAAACCTGGTGACACGAAGTGCCACTATGCGGATGAGGATCACCTGTGGAGAGATCCCAGAAACCCTTTTCAGCCGTTAGGCCATATTTTTTTTTATTCTTCTCATTTAGTTTTAATTTAACTTTTATTCAAGAAAGTAGGGAGCTGCAGATCACAAATACTGATGTATTAGAAAGAGCAGGTGCCACAACAGTTTTCTCAGTGCTCAGTCTCTGCATGCTAAGGTGGTTGTTCACACATGGAGGATGGTAAAGAAAGGTGGTTGTTCACACATGGAGGATGGTAAAGAAAGGTGGTTGTTCACATTTGGAGGATGGTAAAGAAAGGTGGTTGTTCACACATGGAGGATGGTAAAGAAAGGTGGTTGTTCACACATGGAGGATGGTAAAGAAAGGTGGTTGTTCACACATGGAGGATGGTAAAGAAAGCTGGTTGTTCACACGTGGAGGATGGTAAAGAAAGGTGGTTGTTCACATTTGGAGGATGGTAAAGAAAGGTGGTTGTTCACATTTGGAGGATGGTAAAGAAAGGTGGTTGTTCACACAATGGAGGGTTGTATGGTAAAGAAAGGTGGTTGTTCACACGGGGATTTGGAGGATGGTAAAGGAAGGTGGTTTGTTCACACAGAATGGAGGATGGTACACATTGAGAAAAAGAAAGCTGGTTGTTCACACATGGAGGATGGTAAAGAAACCTGGTTGTTCACACATGGAGGATGGTAAAGAAACCTGGTTGTTCACACATGGAGGATGGTAAAGAAAGGTGGTTGTTCACACATGGAGGATGGTAAAGAAAGGTGGTTGTTCACACATGGAGGATGGTAAAGAAAGGTGGTTGTTCACACATGGAGGATGGTAAAGAAAGGTGGTTGTTCACACATGGAGGATGGTAAAGAAAGGTGGTTGTTCACACATGAAGGAGGTATGGTACAAGAAAAGAAACCTGGTTGTTCACACATGGAGGATGGTAAAGAAAGGTGGTTGTTCACATTTGGAGGATGGTAAAGAAAGGTGGTTGTTCACACATGGAGGATGGTGAAGAAAGCTGGTTGTTCACACATGGAGGATGGTAAAGAAAGCTGGTTGTTCACACATGGAGGATGGTAAAGAAAGCTGGTTGTTCACACATAGAGGATGGTAAAGAAAGCTGGTTGTTCACACATGGAGGATGGTAAAGAAAGCTGGTTGTTCACACATGGAGGATGTAAAGAAAGCTGGTTGTTCACACATGGAGAATGGTAAAGAAAGCTGGTTGTTCACACATGGAGGATGGTAAAGAAAGGTGGTTGTTCACACATGGAGGATGGTAAAGAAAGCTGGTTGTTCACACATGGAGGATGGTAAAGAAAGCTGGTTGTTCACACATGGAGAATGGTAAAGAGTCCATAAGGGGCTGTAATAAAAATTATGTGTGTTTTTCGTTGGCACAGGAGGGGTGCAACTATGGGGTGACCCATTTGCTATGAAGCTGAAACTAAGATTACCAGAACTACAGATGGGTAGAGGTCAAGTTCAGCCTCTGCTAGGATATATTGATGCGTGAAAGCATGACAAGAATGATGTAGGTATTGAGGTAGATACGCTGGTTAGTGCCTTGTGGGAGAGCGTGTACAATTCGGAGGAGCAGATGGATCACCACAGTCTGGTGAGATTGGTGCAGAGAGGAGTGACGAGGGGTTCTGGCAGATGCTCAAGGCTCAGAGCAAGGGCAAGTATCTGAACTCTGCACTGGCTGCTGAAGATGGGGACGGAGTGCTTTTGGGAATGCACTGAGTGCTGTGATGTCGGTTCTTGAATCAACTCAACTCAAGCTAGGTGCTATTTTCTTAACCTGGATGTTTGTTGCTTGTCACACTCGCTGCGCCATGAGTTGTGATTCCCTGTTTCCCTACAAGACTCTTGCCTGGAAAGAAGGAAATGTTTTAGCTAGCCAGCCGCAGTAGCTTAGTGGCCTAAAAGCCATTGATGTTTGCATTCTCTTGTGGTATGCTCTTGCAACTAACTGTTACTCTAAGATAATATTGTGCATTTCAGTCCTACCTGGAGGATTTCTACAACTTCTGCAAGAAACAAGGTGGTGCCACGGCCGATGTCATGTGTGAGGCACTTGCTGTAAGTATTGGGTGATGTTTCTGGGATTATCTTGCACATTTATGTGATACTCAACATATTCACCAGAAGATGCTGTTACTTTGCAGATGGTTCTGTGATTTGCCAGAAGCGAAGTGTGTGGGCTTTCCTGGCAAGAGCCAAGGGAAAAGTTGTTAAAGTAGACAGTGGAGCCTTTGCTTCTACCACCAGCAGCATGACAATGAAGGTCAAGGCAGTGACAAAGGCCCTAGAATGGCTGAATACTCATTTCACCAATGCATGTTTGGTCAGCGACTCAATGAGCATGCTACAGTAGATCAAGACAGGGCCACATATGGAAACATTGGCTCCATCTGATACAGCATTACTCTGAAAAATCACCTTAATTTTTGTCCCAGGGTATGATGATATGAAAGGCAACGAGAGAGCAGACACCTTGGCTGGCAGTGCGACTATCAGGAATGGACTGTTTATGGACATTAGAGACATCATCAATGCCATACAAGGGACTAAATGCTGTGTGGCTTTCAGTTTTGTGGAAGATGGTTTTTCACTGAATAGACTGCATAACCTGGGTGTACAAGTTGGAGCCGCAAGACAGGAAAACCATGCGGGAGCCACCCATCGTTACATCAGTCAGAACAGAATGTTAGCCTAAAACACTTGGAGACATACTCAGGAGGAGATCGGAGTACTTCTGGTCATGTCCCATGTGAGGTGGAAATGATCTCTAAAATGAGCAATGAAAAGTAATGTCATATTATTCAGTTCATAAGTAATGTGTGTTATACCAATAATAATAGTTAAGTAATTAGTATTTGAGAGCAGCTCAGCCCAACTCAGATCAGGAGCATATCATGGATTTGCTATCTGGGACATTCGGGTGGACGGGGTTCTCTGGGCACTGAACGGCAAAAGCTGCGTGGTGAAATCTCTCTGGGGTCAGATGGATGGTGTAGTGAAACAGACAGAGAATCCATACATTGCAAGACTGGTCGTTGTAAACGGGAGGGGGGGGGGGGTAGAGGTTCTAGAAGATATTCAACACTGAGGAGGAAGCTTGGATGAACTTAGATCAGGTTGCAGCTGGTACTATTAGCATGTGAACTCTTTATTGGTTACTGAAGAAGGGGACGGAGCACATGTGCAGTGATTTCAGTTCTTTATTCATTCATTCATTCGTTTTTGTTGTATTTGTCGTATTGTTTAGGTCATTAGTTGTTGTTATTTATATATCAAATTATCGTGATCTGGCCGATGCTCAACACTCAAGGGAAAGGCGAGACGGATAAACAATCAGACTGTTATTGATGCAGTCGGAATTGGAACAAAATTTATTTTCAAAGGGTTACAAATTGGGCACGCAGGCCCGTCTGACATTCGGCGCTTCTAAGTACTCATTTTTCAGAGTACCAATACCTGTTATCAATAATGCACGTTTTGGATTTAATAGAGAAGATAGGGACAGAGCTCTTATTGGAGTGTCCCGAGTGCTATGATGTCGATTCTCTTTTTAACATTCATATTATTGTGAACGTTTTATATAGGTGTTAAACTGTCCTGTACAAATGTTTAGGGATATTAAATATTATTATTTTAGTTTTTACGCTCTCTGGCCGAGTGATTAAAAATGCTGGGCTGTTATTCTGGAGACTCAGATTCAGATCCTCCATGAGATTGTGGATTTTTTCCTTTCGGGGGAAAAAATAGAATCCTAACCTGCACAGTTCTGGCCCCTGAATGAGCCATGCGGCCCTAAATCCCCCAGGCTCCTCTTCTTCGTCTTCTTCTTCTTTGCTTTTACTGGCTGTTAACTCTGGGGGAGTGTTCACTTTGTTCATCCACTTGTGAGCTTTGGTCTTGTTCCAAAATTTGAGTTGTACATGCACATCCACTTTAGAGGTCTGGCTTATTTTTAATTGTATGGAGACTGTTGATTCCTCGCCTGAGGCAGATGTTGTATGGAGACTGTTGATTCCCCGCCTGAGGCAGATGTTGTATGGAGACTGTTGATTCCTCGCCTGAGGCAGATGTTGTATGGAGACTGTTGATTCCTCGTCTGAGGCAGATGTTGTATGGAGACTGTTGATTCCTCGCCTGAGGCAGATGTTGTATGGAGACTGTTGATTCCTCGCCTGAGGCAGATGTTGTATGGAGACTGTTGATTCCTCGCCTGAGGCAGATGTTGTATGGAGACTGTTTATTCCCCGCCTGAGGCAGATGTTGTATGGGGACTGTTCATTCCTCGCCTGAGGCAGATGTTGTATGGAGACTGTTGATTCCTCGTCTGAGGCAGATGTTGTATGGAGACTGTTGATTCCTCGCCTGAGGCAGATGTTGTATGGGGACTGTTGATTCCTCGCCTGAGGCAGATGTTGTATGGGGACTGTTGATTCCCCGCCTGAGGCAGATGTTGTATGGAGACTGTTGATTCCTCGCCTGAGGCAGATGTTGTATGGGGACTGTTGATTCCTCGCCTGAGGCAGATGTTGTATAAAGACTGTTGATTCCTCGCCTGAGGCAGATGTTGTATAAAGACTGTTGATTCCTCGTCTGAGGCAGATGTTGTATGGAGACTGTTGATTCCTGGCCTGAGGCAGATGTTGTATGGGGACTGTTGATTCCTCGCCTGAGGCAGATGTTGTATGGAGACTGTTGATTCCTGGCCTGAGGCAGATGTTGTATGGAGACTGTTGATTCCTCGCCTGAGGCAGATGTTGTATGGGGACTGTTGATTCCTCGTCTGAGGCAGATGTTGTATGGGGACTGTTGGTTCCTGGCCTGAGGCAGATGTTGTATGGGGACTGTTGATTCCTCGTCTGAGGCAGATGTTGTATGGAGACTGTTGATTCCTGGCCTGAGGCAGATGTTGTATGGGGACTGTTGATTCCTCGCCTGAGGCAGATGAACTCCGACTTTGAAATAAATGCCCATAATTATTCGCCTTTAATGACATGCTTGTTATGGTGGCAGTGAATTTATTATTAGTGATTGGAAAATATTATCATCACAGCACTCCGGACAGATCCTTAAGTGCTCCAATCTCCTCAAAAGCTCCACAAGTGTAAAACGACTGATTACGCCTTTTCTGTGTTGGTTAATGAAAGGTCCTCTTAGTGAAAATTTTGTTTTTTGTAGCTCCAGGCTGCACCCCCATGTCCATCAGTCTAGACAGGGATACAGAGTCATGTCCTTTGGCGTGCTCCTCGGTGTGGTATATGCAGCGCATGGCATTGATAACATCACTTCTGTCCAGTGGATTTTTTCTTGTCCCCTCAGAATGAAGAACCGGCACCCACACGAGGAAGACCCGCGTGGTTTTTGGTTATTTTATTGTTTCTATATATAAACATTTTCCCTTTTTTGAAGGGCAGAAATGTGCTTTTAGGCTTGATTTATCTCTGTATTTATGGATAACATATTTTATTGTCTCAAAAGTTTGATGCAGACAGGCGATCTTTCATCATCACTATCAACTCTTTTGGGACCGAACTGAGCAAAGAGGACAGAATAAAGCTGTACCCTCGCTGTGGTAACTTGTACCCAGCCGGACTCAAGTTGTTGGGAGATTGTGACGACTTTGATCAAGTGAGAGCCGTTGCTGAATACTATCCTGTAAGTACATCATTGTTGATGTGGTGTGCCTCTCATCTGTGCGGTGTAGTTGTTAAATAACTTATCTTATAGTTTAATATTCTCCGCCTTTCTTCACAACCTGGGAACAAAAACAAAATTTTTTTTTTTCTGTGGATGGCTGCCATCAAAAACATAAAAACTTTTTTTCCTAATACTCACCAACTGTAAACTCTGGCAGAAAGTTCTGGTTGTTCGTCTACGTCTGAACTTTGGTTTTGTTCTAAAACTTGAGTTTTGCCTGCACATCTGTTTTACAGAAGTAGTTTAATTGTATGCAGACTGTTGACCCCTCGCCTCTCAAGCAGCTGAACTCCGAATTCAAAGGAAAAATCTCAAATAAGTTGCCTTTTACGTCACGCTTGTTAAGGGAGTGGGTCTATTGTTCTTCCCCCAAAAAAGGGTCTGAACCCACACAGGGACAATGGGGACAGAGGCTTAAACAAAAACAGATGTAGATAAAAATAAATTTGTTTTGTGACGTCTCTAGTAGACTAATTGATTTATTACCTTTGAGAATTGGAACTCTTCACTGGCTGCTGAAAATGGGGATGGAGCGCTTATGGGAATGCCCCGAGTGCTGTGATGTCAGTTCTTGAATCAACTCCACTCATACCTTTGAGAATATTACATCTTTATGTTGATTCTGGAGCCGACATCACAGCACTTGGGGCATTCCCACAAGTGCTCCGTATCCATCTCCAGCAGCCTACACAGAATATTACAAGGTGGAGTTCCCACCGTTTCCACTGTGCGATTCTCCTACTACTGTGTGAAAACCACAAAAAGTTTTTTTTTTTTTAAATAACTGGCTATGGGTATCAAACCCTGGCACATCAGAAATACAGGATTGTGAAACTTGTAAACCTCACTTACCTCTAAGCCACAGGGTGTTACTAATTGTAGATAGCATTTATGAATGAAATCCAACTATACAATTACAAGTTTTAGCTCCTACAACATCTGTTCTAGATAAATTATGACATCTGATTCCCCGTGTGGATTCCAGGGTCACATTGTGAGAAGAACAAGATTATAACCACTGCCTCCCCAACAAGCATATTCACTCGGAATGAGCGCATCTGCATGAGAGGCAAGGAACCAACAGTTTGCATACAAATAATTCAGACATGTAAAACAGATGTGCACGCAACTCTCAGGTTCTGGAAGAAAACTTAAGTCCAAAGGTGGATAAACAACCAAAACTTTCCACCCCACTTTACAACCGGTGAGCGTGAAAAAGAAGATGATAACATCTGATTGAAAGGTAAAGATAAACCTGGGAGATGTGAACCAGTGTCATTGCACACAGTTATAAACCATAAGTGCTCTGCCACCAGTATAGACAGCTGATAACAATCTGTCAGCCTGTGTCGCCGTTCACACATAACTCCGTAGCTACAGTGAAGATCCTTTATTTACCCTAAAGTGTCAACTCTGGTACCCATTTCCTAGAGGCTGGGTGAACCCATGAACCACCCGGTTTTGAACACCGACCGTGGGCTGCAGCGAGTCGCAACTGGATTTGAAACCGAGTCTAATATCGACTGCGCTAATGCACACACACCCCCCCTCCCCCTTCCCCAGCATCTGATATGCATGCCTGGAGCATTTAGAAACCATGCAGTGAAGCTCTGCAGGAATAGCCAATTCAGTTTCTCTGTTAGGTTTTTATTTCTGGCTTGCTCTGTACTTGTGGTAGTTTTTATTACTGATGTGGTCTTTACTGAAGAGGGAAAGAGAAGAGGCAGACCAAGAAAGGTAAAGGCAAAGAGGAAGAAGAAAGACCACTTCTTTGGTTAGCTCCCGTTTTAATCATCTTACTATCAGTTTCTAGTGATTATAGTTTCTGATTCAGATCATGCATGAAAGTTTTTTCTTCTTAAAATTCTGCAGCAGTACAAAGAGCTTTTTGATAATTCTGGCTCCAACGCTGGTGAGAAGACCCTGGAAGACAAATTCTTTGAGTCTGAGGTAGGTGATGTTTGATTATTGAGTTAAAGATTGCTGGTGATTGATTGTTGAATCTGATGTAGGTGGTGATTGATTGTTGAGTCTGAGGAGGGTGGTGATTGATTGTTGAGTCTGAGGTAGGTGGGGATAGATTGTTGAGTCTGAGGTAGGTGGTGATTGATTCAGTCTGAGGTAGGTGGTGATTGATTCAGTCTGAGGTAGGTGGTGATTGATTGAGTCTGAGGTAGGTGGTGATTGATTGTTGAGTCTTCCTCATGTGGGGTCCGTCTATTCTTTATCCCCATTTTGGGGGAATAAAGAAAAGACTCACTGCCCCCAACAAGCATGTTGTTGTTGGTGACTAGTTAAGGAAGTTTCCTTCAAAGTCAGAGAGCATCTGTTTAGGAGTAGAGAAACCCAACAGTCTACATACAAACACCCAAGATCTGTAAAATGTACACAAAACCCAAGCTCTAAAGTCCAGGAGTGGACGGACAATCGGAACTTTCCACCAGAGTTTACAGACACTGAATGCTAAAAAGAATAATAATAATGAATTATGAAGTAGACATAAGGTTTCATGGCCAGATGCCTTTTCTTCCCAGATATTTCCCCAGGGAAGTCTGAAAATTATATGGGACCTATTTTCATGTTATGTTCACATAATTAACCCAACATCTACATTCACTTTTATTAATTCCTTGTCTCTATCTATTTTTATTTATTCAATGTGGGTGCTGCGTCTCCTCGACTTGAGACCAAGTTCCGTTTCGACTGACATGTGATAAGTCGAACTGGTCATAAGTCATATTTATATTTGTGTATACTATTTTCATTCAAACAGCTATAAAGAATTGTACGTAAAACAGAAAAATTATGTATATGTATAAGTAGACCCCACTGCACTACCAGTGTAGTTATCTTTCTTTATTTACTTATGTTTTGTGGTCGTAAGGGCGGATGTTCATTAGTTGCATAGTTTGTTTGTCAAGGAGAAAGTGTATTTCCTGTTATTTAGCGTCAATATTCCTTTTTTATCTATTCAACATTTGTATTTTTTTTTTTTTTTAATGCAGCATCTATATTTTCCTTTTATCTATTTAACATCTGTATTTCTTTTAATCTATTCAAAGTCTGAATTTCTTTTTATCTGTTCAGCATCTGTATTTTCCTTTTATCTATTCAACATCTGAATTTTTCTTTATTTATTCAGCATCTGTTTTTCCTTTTATTTATTCAGCATTAAATTTTTTGTTATTTTTTGAACATCTGTATTTGCTTCAGGTACACCTCATGAAAAAGGCTTTCATGCAGCAGTTCCAATTTGGTGTGTTCTACGCCTACGTTCGTCTCAAGGAGCAGGAAATCAGAAACATTATCTGGATCGCAGAATGTGTGGCTCAGAGACACAGAGCTAAAATCGACAGTTACATTCCAATATTTTAGAATCAGTTTACTATTTGTTCCATGGTTTTTTTTCCCTAGCTCAAAGTTTTTAAGAAACTCGCTTTTGGTTGTTAGAAGAAAAAGGATGTTAAAGTTTAGAGTAGCTTTTTTGTTGATAAAGCCGAGTATTTGAAAAGAATTGATGTATTTTTGTACTCAGGTCATTAATGCCATATTTTTTGGGTTTAGATTTTGTCAGTATCTGTAGAATTAGGCTGGTTGAACTGACTGTATTGTCATGTTTGCCACCTCTGTATTGACATACACCTGGCTTTGAAATTGTCTAATTATACTGTTATTTTTCATGTATTTAAAATGTAACAGTTTTGTATCAGCCAAGTGAAATGTTGCCCAAGACAACAGAACATCCAAGACTTCCCTGAATATGCCACATAAAGGTTAACAAAAACTGGAAAATAATCTTTAAAAAAAAAATTCTGCAATGTGTACAAGAGACAGAATTTCAGGAAATATACAACTTATTCCAGGTCAACATGTTTGCAGAATGCCTGATAACACTTTGGCAAAGACAGTTCTCTGATGGATGGAAGATGGGGGAAAAAAACCAGATGTTGACGACACAAGGAAACATGCAGAAGGACAGTAAAAATTGAAATGGAGTGTAAGCCAGATCTATAAAACAGAAGTGCATGCAAAACTCAATTCTGAAACAAGACATAAGTCCACTTGTGGATGAACAATAAAAACTTTCAGCCAAAACTTACAGGCATAAAAACAGCAGATGGGTAGCAAGTGAGATCACTTATGAATGTCTTATGCATTGACGGTGATGTGTACGAACAACTAAAACTTTCAGCCAAAGCTTACAGACGGGATACCCTAGGCAGAAAAGCAGCAGACGAGTAGCATGGGATGTAACTTGTGAATATCTTATGTATCAACAGTGACAGGAAGAGGATGTCAGTAGATTTCAGGCAAATAAAGAAAGAATAATAATGTTATTTTATCATCTAGCACTTCAGTGTTTATTTTCGGTGTGTTATTTATTAAAATAGTCTTCCAGACTTGAGAGGATACTGACAATTATGAAAGAAATACAATGAACTCAGTAACAACAACAAAACAGACTGCCTTAGAAAACAGTCAGGAGTAAGCTCTACAAGAGGGCTATTGAACTGGCAGCCCACAGGTCAAATCTGGCCCACAGAGGACTAGCAAATGGCACGCGGATCACCTGCTAGTTGCTTTGTATGTAATGCTGAGGCTCCATCCTCAGGCTCGTGGCGATCCAGACTTTCAACATTTTGAATCCTGCGCAAACTTAGTTAAATGGCTACGCACTACACCTTCTTCTTAATATCCTTTTTTATCACTTCAGGTGTCGAGGGAGATTCTTCTTGTTCTTCTTCTTTTTCAGCGTTTACCCTTAAAAGGGGCAGTTAGAACATTGTTTTTTAAAAATAGTTTTTCCCTGTGTGGGTTCCGGGGTCCTTTTGTGGGACAAAACAGGAAAAGAACCACTGCCTCCCCATCAGTCATGTCATAGGAGTCGTCTAACGGGGTATATCCTTGAAAATCACAGTACATCTGCCTGATATTTTCAATCAGTATCCATGAAAATATGTTGAAATTAGCCACCAAAATTAATTTTCCTTTAATATTTAACAAGTATGTACCTACAGAAAGCATTGTTTCCAACAGATTTAATACAAATTTTTTTTGGGGGGGAGGGGGGGGGGGGTTAACATATCCTTAATTCCCAACTTAGTTTTTGTTTTGTGATATTTGAACAAAATTTGTTCTTGTGATATTAAAAAAAAAATTGTGAGTTGCTGCTTATTTATAATTTTTTCTCCAACTGTGTAATGTTTGCGCTGTCAGCTGTTCATTGTAGTTAATGAGTGAAAATTCAGTTAAAAAGTGAAGGACCTTTTCCCATGCTTCAGGCGTATTGGGCATATAGGGCTAGACCTGTATTTTATTCACCAATTGGCACTTGGTGGGCCATGTGGTCAGCATCGTGCCGGCAGCCTTGAATTCCCAGGACTGCACCTGGTACTCACTCAAGGCTGTGTAGACCTGGGTGCCACTGGGTAAAAATTACAAAATAAATCGGAACAGTGCAGACCGCTCAAGGCGATCACAGATGTGGCGAATTTCTGTTATGAAGAAGTCTGTTTATCCCTGGCTGTTTTTCATGCTTGAATTCTTATCTAGATAAGATGAATTTCTGATAAGAAGAAGGCCTTTCTTTGTTTTCAGGAGTTCTCCTTATCAGTTCTGCTCTGTGTTTATCGAGGTTCTAGTATTTTATGATGAGTTGCAGTTACTAACTGTAAAATGACACAAACAAATATGTGTATGTTTATCATGACTCTTGTATTTTATGCTTGTTGGTGAGGAGTTAAACTTGCATACTGTCAAATGATGTAAGCAAATAAATGTATTCAAAACAATGTTTTACCCTTGTATGAGTTAATGCTGACACAGATAATATACTGCACTGTTTGTTGGCACCAGTCCTCTTGCCAGACAGTAGAGTTATATTCTGCTATAGGAAGGCATGGGAGAGTTATATTCTGCTATGGGAAGGCATGGGAGAGTTATATTCTGCTATAGGAAGGCATGGGAGAGTTATATTCTGCTATAGGAAGGCATGGGAGAGTTATATTGTGCTATAGGAAGGCATGGGAGAGTTTGACTAGGAAGATCCACTTAAGTTGAGAAAAGTCTTCCATAGTCAGAGCGTGGGATTTCAGGATAATTAGGTCACAGGATTTCAGGATAGTTAGGCATGGGATTTTAGAATAGTTAGAGCAATAGATTTCAGGATAGTTAGAGCATGGGATTTCAGGATAGTTAGAGCATGGGATTTCAGGGTAGTTAGGGCATGGGATTTCAGGATAAATAGAGCATGGGATTTCAGGATAGTTAGAGCAGGGGATTCCAGGGTAGTTAGGGCATGGAGTTTCAAGATAGTTAGGGCATGGGATTTCAGAATAGCTAGAGCATGGGATTTAAGGATAGTTAGGGCATGGGATTTCAGAGTGGTTAGGGCATGGAATTTCAGGATAGCTAGAACAGAGGAAGAGCATGGGATTTCAGGATGGTTAGGGCATGGGATTTCAGGATAGTTAGAGCAGGGGATTTCAGGACCCTTGCTACCATCGCATGTATGTAATGTACTTCTTCTTTCTGTACGCTGAGCTCATACTGCAATGGATTTTCTCCTTTATACCTATTCACATCCTGATTTCCTCCCTCCATGCAACATGGTTCCTGACGTCCTGCACCACAAATCCACTATCTCAATACCAGTATCATTCATGTCCTGTTTGCACAGTTAATTGCGTGGCATATTTTGCTCGTCTCATCAGGTGCATTGCTACAATCGTAAACTGTTAGTTGTGTATCTTTTACATTCAGTAGTTTGCCTTTGTCAGCTCTGTGGCTAAGTCGATGCGAACGCTTCGCAATGCTGGGATGCCGGGTTCGATCCCAGCTGCGGGCGATGCGCCTTGCATTGGTTTCGACCGTGGTATCAAGAAAGCCGACCGTCCAGAAAGCAATGGCAAACTACTGGACGTAAATTGCCTAGAGAAACCACACAGCAGCCAGGGGCTGTTAGGGTTGGTTCTGCAACGTCCTGTAAAGGATATGCAACTAAATAGTTTGCCTTTGCTTTCTGAAAGGTCAGCCTTCATGTTGAAATCAATGCAAAGCAGTCTGTCACCAAATCACCTGCACCTGGAATTGAACCAGGTATCTCAGAATTTCAAAGCACAGACACCCGTTAAAGAGAATGATCAAATTATAAAAGTGGTCTGCTGGATCTCTCGGAATTACAAAGCATGCTCATAACACCCATGCCACAGGTGCCATGAATTGTGCAACGTATTTTTTCCTCTGCATTAATTAAAACAAATGTATATTTGTCATGAATCCTGTATGTGAAGAGATAAGACAATGGTATCCATATACAAAAATTATAACCACGAAGGCAGACAAGTAATATTTGTCTGATGTTCCGAATGTGCCACACTTGTACATCGCCGTAGCTGTTATTTATATTATATTATTATTTTCGGTAATTAAATGTATATTGGTTACTGTAAGTACTCTGTTTGTATTTATCAAGGAAGATTTTATTACATGTAATTAAAATATTTGTTTCAATTCTTTAAAGAGTAGAACACAAGCTTTTTATTTTTAACGTTAACTGGCTGTTTGTCCATTTCTGGTCTTTGGCTTTGTTGCAGAACTTGAAGTTTGCATGTTCGTCCTTTTTTTTCAACATATCTGGCTTATGTAAATGCAGACTTGGTTCCTTGCACTCTGACTGTGAAGGAAGCACCCCTAATTTAGTCTCTTTTTACTCCCCGTGTGGGTTTAAGGGTTCTATTTTAGGGAAAACAAGAAGAGACTCGCTGCCTTTCCAACAAGCGTGTCATAAGAGTTGATTAATTAGAAGCTGGCTTTGAAGTCGGGAATACATCTGCACGAGAGGCAAGTAGCCAACAAATGAGTCAGGCCTGTGAAATGGATGTGCACGCAACCCTCAATTTCTGGAACAGGATTAAGTCCAGAAGTGGATGAACAACCAGAATTGTCTGCCCTTTGAACGCAATGACAAAGTCACCTTTTAGTACATGCTTGTCAGTATGCCAATAGGGCTGTTCTTTTCCTCCCCACCACTCTCCAAAATGGGGCCACGGAACCCACACAGGGAATCATCATCATCATGTAAAAGGTCCCCCGTGTGGGTTCTGGGGCCCCATTGTGGGGAAAACAAGAAAAGACCCACTGCCTCCCCAAAAGCATGTCGTAAGAGTCGACTAATTGGGGAGCTTCCTTTGAAGTCGGAGTGCATCTGCCGGAGAGGCAGGGAACAACCAACAGTCTGTATTCAAGAGAATGAGATCTGTAAAACTGATGCACATGCAACACTCAGGTTCTGGAGCAGGACTGCAGTTCGGTAATGGACGAGCAACCAGAACTTTCCCCCAGAGTGTACAGCTGGTGAACGAGAAGAAGAAGGT